TAAAAAAAGGTTGGGAAACACTGTTCTAGTACACCCCCAAAACAAAATCAAGACTTTGTAAAAGAGCATAATAGGACCCCTTTAAAGGAATAGATTACCCAAAAATAAAAATTTGAGCTTATTCTCTTACTGAATTGGTTTGGGCTAGACCTGATTCAAGCAGACATTGTATACCTTCAGGCAGTGCATTCACCGTAGCTTAGCCGAGACGCTGACTTATCCAGCTCGACTGCACTGCTAGCGCCTTCCTCAGTTCGCACGTGGCCTGCCATTCGCTCATTAAAAAACTGGGGAACATTCTTCATGACAGGCACACTTGGCACAGCGCTTCAAACATGAGGAGCATGAGCCATGAGGAATCTCTGAGAAGAAGTGTTCAGACTTGACTCTTTGTTGTTTTCTCTAGTCCACACTAGATGATGCCACAGATGACTGGGGTATTAAAGTAGAACGTGTGGAGATTAAGGATGTCAAACTGCCCCTGCAGCTCCAGAGGGCCATGGCGGCAGAGGCTGAAGCAACCAGAGAGGCCAGAGCTAAGGTAACATGCTTTTGATATTTAGTAAGGGCTGCTGTTACTCATTTCACATGGAAACATATTTCACATAGTTTTATTATATTTTTTAAAGCATTAAAGACTTATGTATAGTGCACAACACTTAAGATTCTGGTGTACTATTTAATATTATAATATTCATTATGTGGAAGGATATAACAAGATTTTGCTGGCAAACACATATTAATCATCCTCTCATGTACATGCATGTACATATTGTAGACCAAATCATTGTGTGTGTGGGAGCTGAATGCAAACATTCATTGCTCTGAGGCAAGACCACCGCAATACTCTCATAGGAAGACGGAAGTGACAACTCCTTTCCTGTTTCTGGGTGTATTTCCCACTAATGTGTCCAAAAACCATGAAAAAAACTATACAAGACAGAAAGAAACCTGACCCAAACTCATCTCAAGTTATTCCAAACCTGTATGAGTTTGTTTCTTCTGTTGAGCACAAAAGAAGAATTTAGGAGATCAAACAGTTGACCGTAGCCATTGACTTCCATAGAATGGAAAAATAATCGGAACAACTTGAGGGTGAGAAAATTCTTTTGACAGAATTTTCATTTTTGTGTGAACTATCCCTTAAAATACAAGTTCACTTGCAGTAAAACTTTGGTTTAAATATGGTTTGTTCTGACTCTCGGGAATGTATACTCTCGGTCATAAAGCAAAACCAGGCGAGTTGCTTAAAGGAATAGTTCACCCAAAAATGGCAATTTGCTGATAATGTACTCATCCTCAGGCCATCCAAGATGTAGATGAGTTTGTTTGGAGAAATGTAGACATTATATCACTAACCGACTGTTTGCAGTGAATGGGTGCCGTCAGTATGAGAGTCCAAACAGCTGATAAAAACATCACAATAATTCACAAGCAATCCACACGCCTTCAGTGCGTGTTTGTAAGAAACAAATCCATCATTAAGGCATTTGAACTTTAAAGTGTAAAAATACCAGTCCATAATCTATAATAATGCTTCCTCCAGAGGAAAAGTCCATTTCCTGTTTTTCTCTCACATCAAAATCCACCAACATATTTGTTTAGAACTGTTTCAGACTGGTTTACTTGTAAGCAGTGCTTGATCTGTGCACATTTCACTCCTGATTCAGACAAGATGACTTTTCACTGGAGAAAGCATTTTTATGGATAGAGGAATTAATTGATGGACTGGAGTTGTGTGGATTATTGTGATGTTTTTATCAGCTCTTTAAACTCTCATTCTGACGGCACCCATTCACTGCAGAGCATCTATTGGTGAGCAAGTAATCTAAGGCAAAATTTCTCCAAATCTGTTCCAATGAAGAAACAAACACATCTACATCTTGGATGGCCTGAGGGTGATCATATTTAGGTGAACTATTGCTTCAAAGGAACGATGAGATAGCTCAAAGTATGACTGTAGGGCAAAGAGTGGGCGTCAAATTGAAACTGGGTTAAGGGGTGGAAGTTTTGTGTGGTATACAAGGTTTGCTAAATCAAGACATGCATGGTTTTTTTTCACACCGCCCTCTGCTGTTTGTAGGTGATAGCCGCTGAGGGAGAAATGAATGCGTCACGGGCACTGAAGGAGGCATCTCTGGTGATCGCAGAGTCCCCCTCTGCTTTGCAGCTGCGCTACCTCCAGACCCTCAACACCATCGCAGCGGAGAAGAACTCCACCATCATTTTCCCTCTGCCTATTGACATGATGCAGTCCTTTGTGAAGCACTGAACTAAGAGCCACATAAAACTACCTACACACACTCACACATACAGATGCATCCATGCAGAAATGAACAGACTGATGTTATATAACATGCACTCATGTGAGTATAATGTACAACCGGGTCCAGAAGTCTGAGACCACATTGAATTCTGGTATTCAATTTTTGAAAACTTAAAACTAAGAAACATCATTACTTGAAGTGAAGAAGAAATATGTGAGGTTGTATTTGAGTTGTAAGTCACTAATCAAATACGTGAAAATTGTTCATCAAATTGGTAATCATTTGACTCTGTACAGACAGTCAGATGTTCAAAATGCTCTTGGGATCATCTCAAATAATTCTGGAGAAGATGTTCATCAAGTTTTACACAAATTTGTGGAGGTCATGCAGCTTGAGTGCTGCTGTTTTTGAAATATGCATTCTAAAGCCCATGCACGTATTTAAATTTTAACCACTCAAATTGTTATTCTGATAATGTACTATATTAGAAAAATGCAAAATAGAAACATTTTCACTAGTGGTCTCATATTTGGACCCTACTGTACATACACCACATAAGCACAGCCTGATGCGTGATCTGTAGATGTTCCTAGTAAAGACCTGTTCACTGTCTGAAGGAAATTTGATACAGCCAAACAATATGAAAGTCATAAAATATTTGCTAAATAAGAGGCCATTAAAAAAAAAAAAAAAATCACATTGTTGCTTTGTTTTAAACCTTTTTTAATGCAATGAAGTGAATAGACCTTACAAAATGAAATTGTGTACAATTTATCTGGTTGTAACAAAAAGATACAGACCAGAGGTGGTTGATCTTTTAGTTACTGAATATTGCAATGTGATGTTTGGCTTTTTGGTTGACAGTTTATGGAACATCTCCTGGTCACATGAGTGCATGTGTGTGTGTTTCAGGCATATGTAACCTAACCTGCTTGATTACCAAACAGATAATACACCGTCTAAGGAATATGTGGATAGTATCAGGTGTCAAAACATGAAACTGACAGCTGTGCTTATTGTGCCTACCAGTTTTTCTCACCTTCCTGAACCTTTATTAATGCTGACCGTCAATATAAAAGCCTTAAGCCATATCCATTTCAATTACCGAATTAATATGTACAGGTTTACATGATGTTGGTTGATTTTTAAAACCACAATGCATTTATACATCCATTTCCTGTCACATTAATATTTTATCGCTTGGTTTATGAAATCTTCTATCTTACTGTTTTATCTACTAGACATTTACATACATGTAATATATTTTTTTACATCAGACTGCAGCTGAAAACAAATTAAGCCTATAGAGGTCAATGTTTGTGCTTTTAATGACTGTATTTGCTGCTTCAAATACCAGAGGATGGAATTACAAAGACTTGTCAAAGATGTGAAATTAGTGTCAGTGCTGCTTAGGACTGTTTTAAGGTTTCAACAATATTTTGAAATATTTGTATTTCACCATGTATCAGTCTATCACAATTATATATGTAATTGTTTGTTCTGTCATTTAACTGATGTATGCTGAATATCACATTTGTTGTTTTGTCCAGCTCACTTTTATGTACATTGTAATATTGAATGTTTTTGTTTGCATATTTCCGATGTGTGATTTTCCCATTCCCTTCAGTAAATCATAATGTGTAATCTTTCTCATAACTTGTAAGTACATACACTCTTTATTTACCCAGACTGCTATTAATATGATGCATAAATCAGTCTTTGAAGAACACTCTGGAAACATTTTGGGGTTGTGGTTCTTTATTGTATTTATTGAATTAAGTAGTAAAACTGGGAAATCATTTTTTTTTTCCCTGGTAGAGAAGGATTTGCGAAAGCAGGAGTATCTGGAATAAGTTGCTGTACGAGTCTTTAGCAAATATCAAAGGCAGCCAATCTCTGCACTATGAGGTATACCATTTTATCTGATCTTCAGGCAGTTAACCTTCCCATATGTTAACAATGATCTAAAGCAGCCCCTAGAAATATACAGTAGACCTTTATCCATTCAGTCTCATGATCGCTTATGTAGGAATAAGTTGGATCTCTAGGCCTCTTACAAGACATGCTCCTTTAAAACTCCAGCATTCTGGTTATGGATTTAGCCGTCTTAAATTAAAAAGCATTCCAAGAAATGGCTATTTTAAAATCTAAAACCACGGGAATGGCCTTTTTTAGACTTGAATTAAAAAAAAAAAAAAAACAGTATTAGTTTCTTTGAAAAAGTTTCGCAGCGCCCTCTGCCTGTAGAGGGATGTCATTGCTCAGATGGACCAAGGCTGTGTTTGGAATGAATACTAGCTTACTACTTACTGAATACTGCTCAGTATGTACTGCATTCTGCCTAATTAAAAATAGCAGGTGAAAAAGGTATTACTTCACAGTAAGCGTTTGAAACAATAGTATGTTACTTTGTTGTCACAATACACATTTAAACAGCAAATGATGGTAAATGAAAATTAAACATTTTAAATGTATTATGCTTTGCATTTTTAAGCCAGTTTTGTGTTAACTGATAAAGCAATCAGTCATTTAAAAAATAAAATAATATAACTGATATTACCCTCCGGAATGCTCAAGTGTTAGTTAGTATTTTTTATATACTACTATACTTTTTATTAATATCTTGAATTATCGTTTATATTTTCAGTTTTCATTTTAGTTTAATTTTAGTAGTTTTGCTATGTGATTTTGTCATTTTATTTTTTGATTGTTCATTTTTATATTTTTATTTCAATTTTATTTTTAGTTATTTCCAGTGAGTAATTTCCCCCTTTTTTCAGTTAGTTGCCAAAGCAACATTTCTAATTTAAAAAAAAAATTTAGTTCAAGTTCTTTATCCAATATTTATTTTTATTTTATTTTAGCTTTATTTTGAATTGTTTCATTTACAGCAATTTAGTTTTAGTTAGCAACAATTGTAGAACATTTTGGGATACAATGTTTAACACGGCATGCTTTGTCGTATACTGCACACTTTGGCAAATGTAGTAAGGTACAAGGGTATTTCATGCATATAAAAATGTGCATACTGTACACACACTATAATATACTTACAGAATAGTATGCTAGTATGCTATTCTGAACACAGCCAAGCAATGAGTTTTAGATGGAAGAGCGACAAGGTGGAAACGCCTCATATCTAGGCTACCATTAGGTCAGTATTTATGATCTATGATCAGTATTTTAATAGCAAAACAAGTAGTATTGCTAGTAAAACTCTTAATACTGGTCACATAAAAAAGGTTTATAAAAAAAGGAAGGCAAAAAGATGTCTAACAGATTTTGACGATGATATCCCTGTATATTTTCTTATACAAGCTCATGCACTTCAGTATCATAAGGTGTGCAGACCAAACATAACAATCTAAAAGCTTTAAAAGTCTTTAAAACATCGCTGAGCACAGGAAGAAAACACTTAAATACAGAAGTAACGAGGTGAAGAGTGGCCTTATAGAGTTGCCTTATGTTTGGTGACTGAAGCTCAGGGCAGTAAAGTGCTCTTTTTAAAAATTGCCTTTTGATACTGACTCAGGACCAGCTTCGGTTTTTTGAATCCATGATTAAACCCTGATAAGCATCAAATTGGCATCTTATCTGTATCTAAGGGCAACTTTGATCAACTTGCAGTAAGGCAGAGGGGTTTAAAGGTCAGGGGTGACAGCTCAAAGTTTAGATCTCCAGCTCGGCCATGGCCCGCTCCAGGGGGTCAGTGCTCCAGTAGTCATGGTCCCAGCCCAGGAACCAGCCTGTGAAAGTGGGCGGCTCGAAGCCCTGTTTAATCTTCACGATGGGTGTGCGCGGGTCACGGTTGGCTGGGTCCGTCTCGATGTATCGGGCAGCTGGAGAAAGACAGCAAGTTTAATATGGGATTCATAAAAGGACGCATTATAAAGTGTTTTGGGATTTCAAAATAAGCTCATGTTTCTATCTTCCTTTCTATCTTGTACACATTATCGCCACCTACTGGACTGTAGCATCGACCACAGACAATATTAACTGAATAAATCTGTCATAAGATACAGTATTCAAAAGTTTGAGTCAATAAAAGAAATAATTTTGATACATTTAATATGTCCTTGCTGAATACAAGAGACAGTAAAGACATCTATAATGTTATAAAATATTTCCAATTCAAATAAATGCTGTTCTTTTTAATCTTCTATTCAACAAAGAATTATGAAGTGCATTTTTTCCCCCAGAAAAATATTAAACAGTTAAACTGTTTACAGCTGATAATATTAAAAGTTCCTTGAGCACCAAAACAGCATATTAGAATAATTTTGAATGAATGAATTCATCCATTATAAATATTGCAGTTTTATCCAAAATAAATATTGTCAGTTTTTATCAGAATTAAAGATTAAAAATCACTTGGATAAACAAGAGTTGCATTGTGGGATACAGTATTCCCTGCAATTTTCTGTTGTATACGTCACATGAGGAACGTAGTATGTCATTTGATTATTCTACACAAAGAACAAATATTTGCATACTGAGCACATTATACATACTAGTGTAGTAGAAGCAGTATGGTAATATGCTATTTATTTTTTATACTTTATGCAGTGAAATTATGATTATAAGTTTAAAGCATTTTAAGGAGTCTTACCTGAAGTCATCGCCTCAGTCTTCTCCTCATCGTGAGCTTCATTACCAATCCAAACAAACACCTGCAAAACACATCAAGATTCATTTCATTTCCCTGTGATGCGTTATTAATTCATTAAACGTCAGTTGTATGTCATTGCATTAATAAGAGAGTCGTTCTATCATGCATGTCATTAAGAAAAGACAAGCATGATACAAAATTCAGCTGAACTGCCAAAAATGTAATGATTAACCATCTATTTGGAAATTGTATTGAATCCAGAGGGGTTCAAGGTTTGGCCAATGAGCTTCTGCAGTTAAGTCTCTGCCGTTTGATGCCGTAACTACACACGGCCATTCAAAACTATGTATTTCTGATATAATAACATTTGCAAGCCATATAAAACCGTTTCCTGGTCACATGCTTCCATTGATATGAATGAGAATATGTAGCACTCCCTTTATATGTGACCCTGGACCACAAAACCAGTCATAAAGGTCAATTTTTCGAAATTGAGATTTATAACTCATATGAAAGCTGAATAAATAAGCTTTCCATTGATGTATGGTTTGTTAGGATACAAGATACAACTAAAATCTGGAATCTGAGGGAGCGAAAAAAATCAAAATATTGAGAAAATCGCATTTAAAGCTGTCCAAATGAAGTTCTTAGCAATGCATATTACTAATCAAAAATTAAGTTTTCATATATTTACAGTAGGAAATTTACAAAATATCTTAATGGAACATGATATTTCATTAATATCCTAATGATTTTTGGCATAAAAGAAAAATCAATAATTTTGACCCATACAATGTATTGTACAAATATACAAATATAATACATTTTGTGGTCCAGGGTCACATTTGTGTTTATTATAGCATTAAATTAGCTATATTATCTATGGTCCAGGGTCACATATATGAGAGCTCCTTGATTACAACACAAGTATGTAAAGTAGAACAATCCTTTTAAAGTAGTCAGTTTACCTGATCCCAGGTGTCCAGGATCATGACATCATCTGTAGCCAGGTCCTCTTGAGTCATCTCTCCAGGAACTTCTTCAATCTGCATGGATATCAATGCATCCATAATGAATGCCTATTTATTATACTTCACTGACAATATACTTAAATCAGGGCAGGCAAAAAATCTGGGCGTGTTACTCACAATGAAACGCCCAGTTTTGTTTGAGCAGGCAAACAGTCGTGGCGGGTGGGCATTCATCTTGTCCTTTAGCCTGGAGGACGTGCGGTAATCGGCCTTTCCTCCCAGAGCGTCCCAGAAACTACCTGCATTGTGATGCATGCATGTATATTTACATGAGCTTCATTATGAGAATCATCACAAAAAAATAAAAAATAAAAACATTCCTAGCAAAATCATTAATGGTTATAATATATATAGTAATAAAAATGGTCACACGTGAATGAAACGTGAATAAATTGCAAAAATGTAAATGAAATGAGTAATTTTTTATAAAAGTTACATACTTTAATTTCTTTAGTTTTATTCATGCATCTTAAAAGGAGTAGTTCACCCCAAAATTAAAATTCTGTCACCTAAGCCATATGGACCACTATTATGCTGCTTCTATGATCTTTTCAGGCTTTTTTAAACTTTGAAAGCTCAAGTTTTCATTTCTGGGTGAAATATTACTTTGACAATTTCAGATGAGTTCTCACCATCCTCTCCTCCTTCACCCAGCTCGGAGGCTGACACTCCAAGGATATCACAGAGCTGCTGTGCCCCACGTTTCTCCGTATCACTGGCTCCTCGTCCCACCCACATGAACGACGCAGCTGGGGTCACCAGGACGAAGGCATCGTTGGAATTCAGATTGGAGGACACAGCATCAACCTGGATAAAACAACGGTTAAGATCAGCAATTATTGTGAGAGGATACTTAAAAGCTCCCACCAATATAAGTAAATATAAGATGCTGACCTCCACCGCTCGTGTGCACCCTGCGGAGTTTGAGCGCACTTGGAACAGCCGAGTCTCGGCTGGCGCAGTCTGACCGCCTTCCCTGGAGGTGCCGCCCTTGTGCACCACCATGGGCTGCCCTCCGAAAAGACTTATGAGGTGAGCAGGTTCCTTACCCTGAACCACCCGAACCTGAAAAATACACAGCAAGTATGCATTAAACAGAGCCAACACAAAGTCCTGCTTTCGCAAAACTATTAAAATGCTGGAATTCTGATATATAGTATATCAAACACAATACAACATGTCATCGGCTGTTCTAAAGGCTTTGGTTGAGGATGCATTTAATTCCACAGGGTGGCAGTGTGGAGCTCATTGTGTGGAATGTGGCGCTAAAGCCAACATTCCCAGCATCCTTTGTGGTCAGAATGATGACAGTGGGTTGTTCAGGAAGCAGATTTATCAGTGGTCGCAGCTAAAGTGGTTATTTTTCTCCTCTTGCCCCAAAAACTTACATTTGGTCTTCCCATGCTGCTCTCTCTTGAATTATACATTGTATTTATTGCAATGTTAAAAATTGTTCTTTATGCTTTCATTAACCCTCTGCTTTTTCCCTACAGTACACAATGCTTTATTAAAGAAGATATACACTACTGTGCAAAAGTTTAGGGTAAAATAAGTATTTTATGCACACCAAGGCTGCATTTATGTGAATACAAATACAGTAAAAACTGAAATATTGTGAAAAATTACAATTTAAAGCAACTATTTTAATACATTTTAAAATATAATTTATTTCTGTGGTGGCAAAGCTGAATTTTCAGCAGTTATAAGTTAAC